TCTATTCCTTTTCATCCAAACATGAATTTAAGCTAAAGCTTTAGCATTTTCACACATCGCGATGGACGCGTCCTCGACACAGTCTGTCAACATTCTTGACACATTTAATACGTATCAATACAGAATTTATAAGTTAGATTTCTGTTCCTGCAACTTCCACATCTTTCGATTTCCGCGATCTGGTAAAGGGGAGATTGATGTGTATCTTTTTATGTTCAAACATGGGTCAGATCACTATGCGCTTTTTTGTCACGATCCCTTGTCATACCTCGCTATCCATGTGTCATCATGCATGAAGTTGTAGATGAATCACTGCGTAAAATATGTCACTATCAATAGAATGTGCCGCAGCATTATTATCTTTTAGATACCCTAGTATAATCATAATCGCATGCGAGAAAAAAACATTTGGTTAAAATTCATTAAATTTTTCATATTTAAAACAGCACGTGACAATTTTGCTAAGACTATTCTCGGTCGGGTAGCTAATTTTCTATAGTTAACAAAATTTCATAATTCAACTGGTTATTCGCCAATTGCGGCCATCAGCGAAAATTGCCTAAGACATGTAAGAAGAAGAACATACATCATGAAGTTTTTACAACAAACGTTCGTGATATAATGGGGAAGGTTTAACGGACTAGTCTCTACAGAGTACGTAGTTTCGCATTGAATATTTAACAATTATTCAGCCCGTGTTAGATACGAAGTGATGAACAGCCGACGCACGTGGCGCCGAGTTTGTCAACATCATCTCAAGGACGAATCTTCTAGGAAATAGAGCAATTGTTTAATTAACTGTAATATAATCGAATAATGTGGACATTTCAGTGTAATCTAAACAAAGGGATACAATGAAAAGGCGGCAAAATTGGTGGAGCGGTGTTCACTCTTTAAGTACCCCGCGTGACAGATTTCTGCTTGGTGAGATTGAGACGAGAGGAAACTTCTGCTTGCAACACTTTGAACCCTCTCTGTCATGCGTTAAGTTAGTTTTGGCTTTTGTGGAGAGAGGAAAACCGGAGTATCCGGAGAAAAATCCTCAGAGCAAGGCAAGAACCAACAACAAACTCAACCCACATATGGCACCAGGCTGGAATCGAACCCGGGCCACAGTGGTGGGAGGCGAGCGCTCTCAGTGGTTAGCCTGCGAGCAGGCTCACCTTTGAGTCACACGCGCGAGCGGCGAAGAGCAAAGCGATCCGGCGGGAAGGAGTCTGGTGAAGAGAAGCCAAGAAAGTTCTCGTCTCGCGGCTTCGCCGCTCGATTTCGCGCTCGCGGCTACGCCGCGCGCCCTTGTGCTCCAACGTGAGCCTGCTCGCAGGCTATCAGTGGTCGAGTCCGAGCTGGAGAACTCCAGGAATTCTTTTCGCGAGTATGCTTGTACAACAGAGAGAAAAAAAATCGTCTTCTCATATATTTAGCTATATTTACCAGGCTAAAAGTCCACCAACATCTCATTTATTATCAAATCAAAACTTAACAAATGCACAAGAACGGGTTACAATTTTGCAGTCGTGAATTGGATAAATGATCTGACTCCATAGTGTGAATATTTCAGTGATAAAAATAAATGCTGAAAAACGGTACAGACCATGCTTTAAAACCAAAACTGAAAATAAGCAGTCCCTCTAACACTCGAATAATCACACCTTAGTCAGTTTAAAGGCAAAGCATATAACATAGTACTATCACATGGCCTTATTTCTCGGATTGAAATAAAAGAGATTACAGCAAAAAGCCAAATGAGGCTTAAAACGATGCATCCGTCCCATCGTCCACGTTTACTTGCCAACGGCTTTAAGCTCACGGTCCATCTGGCACAACACACAGGCGGGGCAAAACATCACAAGCAGGGAGTCGTTGCAAAGAGAGCCCTGAATAAAGAACAACAAAGGTCAGGAGAGTGATAAAAGATTTTAGAAAATAGCCCAAAGAAATACGCGCACTGTTTGTTAAAAATCGTGTTTCTATTAAACAATTAGGTTATGAGCTCGTGATTTCTATCGCGTGATAGCTGACGAGGGCGCAGCCCGAGTCAACTATCATGCAACGCGAGAGCGAATAATCTAATTGTTTTCGTGTAAATCTGCTAATCGTTCAAAATTTTATCCAAATCTTCTTCACAGACACTTCGAAAACGCTACGAAGCGGCCATCATTTTATCGACAAGGGCACACTGCTACGCTACTCAGTATCTATTATAGAATGGACAGCGAGTCGTAGCCAATCAGGGAACGGCATTCGTGATAGAACGCTGGTAGATTGATACTAATCTGTGATAGGTTGTGAGTAGTGTAGCAGTGTGCAGTTTTTACCTCTCGATTTCTATGCGTGATAGTTGACTCGAGCTGCGTCCTCGTCAACTATCACGCGATAGAAATCTCGAGCTCATAATCTAATTGTTTAATAGAAACAGGAGTAGAAGTTTGGGAGAACGATAAATGCTTTGGAATCACGAGCCGAGAGGCGAGTGTTTCTACAGCTTTTTCGAGCTGCTTCCTTGGCTTGCTCCGCGCTCCAGGCCTCTCTCAGACATTAAAAAAAAAAAACGAGCAAACCTTGAGTCTTTCTTTAATTTCTCACATCTATTTCTCTCTAGAAACAGGTTGCAAGGGACTAGCCGGATTCAGTCCGTAGAAATGTTGTAACAATCTTCCTAAGTGTACTTACCTGAATATGCTGCTCTGATCTCAACTTGGCCCTAAGAGTGAATGGAGCGATCTCAGAGCAACAGCAACCATAGAGAAATCCTTCACCCATACGGGTGGAGATGTTGCACAACAGGAAGCAAGGGCAGCACAAACCATAGAGGCCTGTTCACGAACAACAAAACTGAATCAGACAAAATCTACGTTATTTTGTCACTCAATGCGTGACGCGAAACTTTGCCTGACGACAACAAAACGAACCTACGTCATTCTGTCACAAAACGCGTGAGGAGAAACTTGTATCAGAAGCTTTGCGTGACGACCTTTTCCCGAGAGCTCCACACCACCTTCGTCCCCAAGGCGCTTCTCCCGCCAAATGTGAAGGGGAAAAGGCCCTGGGGACAAGGTTGGCTCCAAAGAAGACTGGCGTTTAATAAGCCATATTCGTATTCCCGGTATTGGACTGGAACCAGCTTGCAACTGAGGCAAATGCAGAGAGTCTTTTCAAATGCAAATGACATTTTTCTCTTTTCAATGAAATTCCCCCGCATGAGCCACCATCGCAAGCTAGTTCCATTCCACTTTGTAAAATCACTCCTAGGTAACACCTTACTTACAATGGTTCGAGGAAAATAACTAAGAAGGCTATTGAAAAAGGAACGGTTAACTTACAAGAACCAATATCAGAAAAGCAGTCAAATACGCTTGAATTCCAGTCCCTCAGAACTTGGGTTTGTTGTACAACAACAGTGGTTCCTGGCTGGGCTGTTACAACTTGTGCCATGTTAAAATGGAGTTGTTATAAACTGTGTAGCGTATATCTGGCGTGAGGCAAGAAAGAGTCAATCGCTAGTTTACACTGTCACGCAATCGAAAATAAAAATCGTAACCATTCAATAAACTAACTCGAGAATCTGCGATATAAGAGATGATTAATATATAAAAAACCTTGCCAAAATTTAGGTCTCCCTGATTTTTCATTCGCGCGTTCTTCGGAAAAGTGTTTCACTCAAATTTATAGAGCTTTGTATGGAGACGCCATGTTGGTGACCGCCAGTTCAATGTCACGCAACGCATGAACTTGGGAAATTCAAACGTCCTCGGAGGAACCCTGTCGAGCTTAAACGTTGTAAAACGTCAAGTTATTTGAGGGTCTTATGTCTGATGAAACTAAAACTTCGGAAGGATTGGGAATTTTTAATTTTGGAAAATGACGACGTTACATGAAAAGCGGGAATATTTTGCAACTTTCAGGAGCTATAATATTTTTTTGGTAAAATGGTGCATTCTTATTGTTAAACGTACTTTATGGGCAATGCTCCATTTCATTTGACAATATGCGTGGGTCGAGAGAATTTATTCATATTGAGTTCAAATTTATATTTCATTAGAAGAATACGGCCATTTACGACGGAAGTGCTCTTTACATGTAAAGCAGCTACGTCACGGACCGCGCATCTTGAAAATATTGGCCAAGTTTGTCAAGTTTGTCGTTTGTAATCCGTGTAAATCTTTCTCACTCTTAGCCGTCCTTATTTTGTTTTAGTTTTCATTACCATTTTGGTGTCATTCTGCCTTAGCAAATTATTATTTTGAGATTTCCTTCAATTTAAAAGTAATCACAAATCGTTAAGAAAGTTTAAAAGCCCGGCACGACGGTTAACTATTTTATTGTAATTCATTTTTTATCATCCATTAATTTAATTTGCAAGACATGTCTTGAATTTCCTGTCATAAAACCGTCCACTCTTCTCACATAACGCTATTTCTACGCTCGTTTTTTCAAGGATCTGTTCCAGACATAAATAATTCAGAGTTTTCTCCATGGAAACCCTACACATCTCAAGGTGGCTATTGGCAAGATTTCACGAACATAAATAACATGCGCCAATACAACTTAAGAAAAAGAAACTTAAACACGTTTTGCTTCTAAAGATTGATTTAATTAAGTTATGTGGAAAAACTCTGGTAGCAGGTGGTTAGGCAGTTATCCATCCAATCTTTCACATCATGACGACCAGATTATGATCGAAGGTCTTCAATCGATTTCTTCCTCGGCATTCCCGAAATGGAGATAAAATGTTGTTTTGTTTGCGAATAGTTAAGCAAGAAATCTTTACATAATTTATTCATGGCTTCAGCAAGCGGAAAAACATTCAGGATATGACGAAATAGGCACAATGCGGAGAAAAGAATTCAATACCGACGAACTTGGCTAATCAAATCCTGTAGACACTGCAACGAACATGCTTAATTAGGACGTCTTGTGTCAAAGGTCGTCTCGTAATTGGGTAATGTCATGACTTCAATTGAAAAAAAACATCGTTTGTCACAAGTTTCTAAGGAGACCGATCAACATTCAATGTAAACAGACTTTAAACGGGTTCAAACACGCCAAACTGCTACTATGGCGATTTTTTTCCCCGTTTGTATTGCAATGCCCTCAAACTTTGAACACTTTTCGTATCAATGTTTGCACCTGAAACACGCCCGACAATTTTTATGAGCTATTAGATGGACGCCTTTTTCTGTAAATAACAAGGTGACCCGAACACTAAAACGTAAGGGATTCAAAATGCCATAGTTCGGCCTTTTGATGCGAGTAAAAATTTCAAAATCTATCCATGCGTCGATCGATAACAACAACTTAATGAAAAAGTTGCGTGACAAACATCTTTGACGGCGGCCAAATGTTTCAGGTAATTTATACAACATGATATGAATTTAATGCCAAGAGAATATTCAAAATGTTTTCCTCGATTTGACAAGGTTTTCGACAAAAAAGATTACTATTATAAACAAAAATAAATGTAACATCTGGAACGACACTCGTTTTCGGAAACTCGAAGACAGACTGTGGACCGTGGAAAGTAGTTTTTCACTGTAAATAAAGCTCTACGAACACTATAAGGCTCAATTTAATAATTCGGTCTTGTGGCAGTCAAAACGCGCAGTTAATCGTCGGAAATGACGTTTATTTTGTAACAAGAAGAGCGCTGGGTTTAAAAAATCAGTCAAACATGAGCTCTCGTGACCAAAATCACAAAGAAAGGAAAGAGAACGGTTATTTACAATAGCCGTATACTGTAAGTTATACGTAGCGTACAATGAAGCACGATCGATCAGTAGGTGGTTTTGTTTGCGTGAAAAGCTTTCAAGAAAACAAAAACAGACAAAAATTAAGACAGCTCGATTATTAATGTTTTCGACACTAATCTAAAGGTTGGCCGGGTGCTGCAGCGCTCTGTACTGGTATGTTTCAATTTAGATCATCGAAAAGGTTGATTCTGTGTGCGAAAAGCGGCATGGACAATATGTGCAGCGACTGACTGCAGCAGAATATTTAATACGCACCCCAATGTGCGTGATCTTCTTTCTACCTAGTCTAAGTCCCTAAGGAACAAACGAGTGTGGCTTACAATGGCTTCCTTTAAAGGCTTTCAAAAACCGTTAATTGACCAACAGAAACGGCGCTTTTGCGCCGAAATAAGGGATACTTCTATATAACAAAGGCGTTAAGCTTCTGGTTGTTTTTCAAACACTATGTTTATCAGGCATTCCTGATATAGTTTACTACATCCCAAGATAACGCAGTTGAAGCCCCGGTTCAAGTACAAATGACTACCCAGTCAAGACCAAAGACGAAAAAAGATTCTCCTACCTTGACAGAGAAAACGCAGATCGAGACCAAACACTCCTTGCAGAAGATGAAACACACCTCCAGAATATTCAGGAGAGATTTCGATTGATTGGCCACGCCAAATATGCAATGACCGTGAAAAATCTATGACGTCAGAGTTGCCTTAGTCACTGACGGCTGGCACGCGTTGGAAGAAAAGAATATTACCAAACAATAATGTATCAGTTAGCGAACCTTTGTGGAAGCCATAGGGATTCTCATTGCGATACAATAATCACGATACGATACTGTCGCTGGCGTTATTAAAATTCGTGACCAAACGAGCGCGTTATTGCAAGAAACTTTTAAAAATTGTAAAGCCATATGGTTCCATCCGTTCTGACACGCTTGGAAGGCATCGAAAACATCGGCTAGCTTATAACTTTTAATTCACCATGATTGACATTTTAGTGACATGTCACCATGTCACCATGAGTGACATTTTAACCATGCAGTGGGTTCTTGTAACTACTGACCGAGGACTTAATCATTGCGTGACGATGCGACGCTACAATCTTGGACAAAATAAATGGAACATCTGGACCACTCCTCCCCCCATTTCAATGATGCCAAAATGGCGCGCTTTTGCTCCTTCGCGCCTTCATCTTTGCTTTGGGGGGGGGGATGGGGGATAATTGTTCCATTTTATTCTGTCCAAGATTGTAGGTATCCTGAGAGATGAGACAATTCACCAGTGTATGGAAAACCAAGCACTCGAAAACAACGACCTGAACGCGAAGCACCAACAACGTAACTCGGAAACGAACGAAGCACAAGAACTGAAACACCCAAAACGAGTCTATTTGAAGAATGAAACCGGATAAAATAAGGTGCTTTCGTGACTGGTTTACAGAGCAATGAAAGCGGAACACCGGAAGATTAAAAGAGTGCAGTATTTTGGTCAGTATCATTGCCAGGCATGTAATGGTTACCTCTGGAAATTTTTAAACAAACGAGCGCCACATAATTTACATGAAAATAGTTTCCAGCTAGCTTTCAATCTTTGCAGTTGTTTGTCCGTGAGCTTGTAATGCTCCAGAAGACATACGCCTGTAGGCGATAAATCGACGACCGTAACGAGCTTTTGACTGTTTATTATTCAAGCACGAAAACATGACATGAAAGGACATCGTCGTCAAGAACAAAGCTCGAAAATTGAAAAGAAAACATTTTGGGAATTTTTAGTACACGATGAAAAATTGACGAATGTGTTCTTGTTTTGCTTCAATAACTTAAATTGGGATGACTTTTATGAGCCTCTATCAGTGGTGTTACTATTAGCTTCGAGTTGTTTTGACTTGTCTGGTCTCTGTTTTGTTCAAACGATTTTTAAACAAGAACTAGAAAGATAGAGCTACATTAGAATGAAATCATTTCAGTATTTCTCAGAGGATATATGTCACTCACAGCTTTTAAATGTAGTTATCGCTTAGCGGAGCGAAAGAGCGATTATTGTAATTTGCCAGAATTCACAGCTACCGGCTGTTGATCATACATTACCATCAAAGAGCTTTCGCTTTTACCGTGGAATTCAAATTTTAGATGCTTCATACGTGATGTCTTGTTCTTCTCGACATTCACTGGTGGAGATTGCGGTTTGCGGTATTGGGTATTGGACAATTGATCTTGCGGTATTTCGGTAATTTTAATCTCGAAATGCGGTATTGTGGTATTCTCCAAACCTGCGGGATTCGTGTTTTTTTTTTTTTTTTTTACACTGTTTGGACGGTATCAAAGATTATTCTCCAAGTCCTCCAACGTTTTCCGAGCCTTTTCCAGTTTCCCATCGGAAAAGGGTAAGTTATTTTTAGTTAATTATTAGTCAACACGCGAATGGATGTAACTTATTTTGTTTATTTTGTCTAAATCGAAAATTACAATTCCTTATTGTTGTTTCCCTGTTATTTGCTCTAAACTAACACACAGAGTAGTGGTTTCAGTATGACATCAAGTTTCGACTCGGCCGATTAAAGTGTCGCGGTATTGCGGTATTCAGGTGTTCAGAACCCTCCTCTTCATTTTAGAGTTTTTGATGTCACATGTTTAATCTTGACTGAGTGTTTCGTTTTGGTGCCGCTTCGTTTTCGACTTTTGCGTAATTTGTCTTCGCTTTCGAATTTGAAGCTATTCGCAAGTTTCGCAATAAGCAAGTCTCGATTTAGACTTTTGGTGCTTCGTTATCGGGTTTTGAGTGCTTCGTGTAAGCGATTTTTTGGGGTGGGGCTTAGTTTCCGCCTTTATGTGCGTCTCAATCGTCCCAAACCTCAACTATCCTCGCTATCTGTGGCTTATTATGCTATCTTTGTAGTTTTTCTTCCCCGGGGGAGAGAGAGAGGGGGGGGGGAAGAAGGGGACTCCCACGGGTATAGATCACGGATACTCGTCGTCTAGCTTGGGGGTGTAAATCACACAATTTGGTCTTACTGTACTGAGAGTGTCCAGGACGAAACGCCACTATTTTTCAGAAATGTTGCAGCTCTCGTAATTGGAGCTCTCATTAATGGGAGGGTTCTACCTTAATACCTTTCGTGTATTTTACGTTTTCCTACGGTTTTATCAAGGCAGCAGGAAGACAAGCCACTAGTGCTATCTATCTTCCAGCTTAACAAGTTCAGTTCTCTCGGTTATTTCGAGCAAACCCTCCTCAGTTGATAACTTAGAATTCTTTTCACAACTCAGCAGGTTTTCGTCGTCGACACTACGAACCAACAGTTCGTCTTCACCAAGAACACCACACGCACCTTCTCCTTGGTCATGACTTTGTAATGTCTTTTCGTCTCCACTTTCTTCTTGATATTTTCCATGTTTACCTTTTCTAACATCGTCATAACTTCCAGCTTGACGATTATCTTCATCACCATTATCGTTATCATCATCATCATCACTTACGTCATCATCACTGACTTCACTGTTACTGTCATCTGATTCGTCGCTACTGAAAACCATTTAATTACAATATTAGTTCAGAGAATTTGGTGGTACATGTACACTGTACAGTAACAGGACAATTTTCACCATGATTTGCTTTATTCTCCTAACCTATGTGCTTGACAATGACTCAATAATACAAGGAGAAATTGCATGACAACCTAAATTAATTCCCAGGGTGGAGAGGGGGGTGCCCCCTATAATGGCCTTCATGGGGAGGCTCCATCCACCTTTTTCAGGCTTCAGGTATACAAAAGGGTAGGGATTTCACAAGTTGAGGTATATGAAAGGGTAGGGAAAACTGGCATTTCAGTACAAAACGAGCATGAACTGAATATAAAATCCTTGTTTTTCTGGTTAATATCTCTTCTGGTTATGCTTCATGTTCTCCAAAAGGGTAAGGGCTTGGACCTTGAAGCAGAGCCTTCCCATATACAACTTTGTAGAGTATCGCCCATCCCCCAGAATTTAATATTGTTTCCAGATCTCTCGGACTTTATCCACAACAAATCAGGAACAAGATTAATCAAACGGTAACCAATCTTGGGAATTACAGCATTATCATTAATTTTTCGAAAATTTCCAGATTTTGTCTGAACTCAGAAACTCAATTGCAATCTCAAACAATTCCATTTTGAGAACAGTCTTCAAAAATTTTCATGTTGAAAGAGAATCTAATGATTTCCAGTGTTCTACAAACCTGACAATGGGTCGGTTAGGATTGAAATGTTCCTTGGTCATATCGATGTCCATCAAGTCTGTAAATAAAAATAATAATAATAATAATGCATTAACTGGTGAAGGCAGACCGATTTAAAACCAGAAAAATTAATGTTCTAACAGGCAAGACTTCGCATTACATTGTAAAACGTTCTCAGTTTGTCTTAACTTTCATCCCAATGATTTCATAAAGCTATATGAAAACACTCCATAGAAAGACATTTCTCACAAGAGGCTTGATGGAGACGGTAACCACTTGATGTAATATATCAAACACGAGGGACAGTGTTTCATTGGGATATCCAAACACCAAGAAGAGATTTGAAAAATGACGCCCAGTAGAGTATTTTTGATGAAATTCGAGGTGTTTGGATGAAACACAGTCTCGAGTGTTTGATAGATCTTCTCAAATTATCCAAGCAAAGGCTAAGGAGTAAACGGAGAAGAAAAATCGTCAAAATCTATGCTAATTAAGACCGGGTATCCAGACCTCCCTTACGGTTGTGATTTTCTTTGTTTTAACTTGATAAATTATTAATGAGTTTAAGAATGTCAGTTTCCAACACATCAAGCTGGTAGTCAGTTCTAAAGGTGATTGTTTCAAATAGCCAAAAGATCATCAGTTGAAAAGTAAATATACAGTCTGTAAATAAACAGTGGCTGTGCCTGGTCTAGCCACAAGCATAGTGAGAGAAATGCAACTGAAAATAATGAATAGCTTAATCTGATTCTCTAATCAAAATAGGTAATCCATAATCAAGTATAACACTGGCAATATATTGTTCCAGAAAATAAAATATAGGTACTCCAACCAAAGTTTTTTAGAAGTTCGTTTGTCAGTTTCGTTTCCGTCGGGGAAAAGTCGTCTGTAAAGCGCCGGTAGTTGTTGACATCTCTTAAGAGGCGTTTGTTCTAGGTTAGTGACCCAGCTTTCCAGAGTCAACCGCTGAAAATAGTTTGTACTGTAGGTTAAGCACCGAGCAGAGTCCCAGTCGATGTTGTGGTTTGTCAGTTGATGATGTGCAGCAATGTGATTGTTGGCATCGCCATTTCTCGTGGCTCGTTTGTGTTCAGTCAGTCTCGTTTTAAGGTTTCTGCCAGTCTCACCAATGTAGGAAGCCTGGCAGTCGGAGCATTTGATCTTGTANAAGGTATAGTCACTGTAGTAACAGGTGTTGGGTTCCTGTTCGTAGCGTCAGCTTCAGTGGGTCGGTAAATGTTTCGTCTAATAAAGTCAGTGTTGTAGTTGTTTTGGTGAAAACACGTTCAAGGTATCTGTTTTCGTCACGTAAACTGTCCGGTGTGTCGCAAACTAGTTGTGCTCGTCTCGTCAAAGTCTTTATAGTCGTGGCTTTGTGTGAAGTCGGGTTGTAGGACGATTCGTCAAGTAATCTGTCGGTATACGTCGGTTTTCTGTACACTGTCGTTCGCAGTTCGTTGTTGTCGCGGCTTACCAAACAGTCTAGATTTGGCCTCTCTCACAGGAAAGGCCTAGCTGAAGAGCATACATGTGCATGTAAATTTACAGTACCTTGTGACGATTGTGAGTTGTGCTCTCTTTCACACTCCTCGAACCATTTATTCTGAACTTCGACCACCTCCTTGCTGGATTTACAAGCAGCATACCGGTCCAGCAGAACTCTGCATTATTAAAACAAAATAAAACTTTTAAAGATCTTCTTCCTGGATGTGGTGGGGATCAAGGAGTAATGTACATGTAATTTGTGATAATCTGTATCAAATGACATAAATTTATATTTTGCCGACTTGGAACAGAAAACTGGGGGTTAGCGTAGTACACAAAGGCTTGTGATTAGTATGTTTGTAAAGAGATAGTCAAGAAACTTGTGACATTCTGCAGTCAGCCTTACTGATGACAAATCAAAGATGGTATATTTTTCTGTTCTAGTGTTGTGTAAATAGTGTTATCTTATTTACCTTTCATTCTGTTGTTTATATAGTAACCTTAAAACCCCAAATGTGGCACCAATACATTTGGTAAGGGGTACACGGTCCCTATTTTCCTAATTTGAGGTTTTGAGGTGCACCGTCTGACTTTGGCACATGTAGGATGTTATTTGATGCATCTTTTATCCACTTTGTTGTAACCTTATTGTGTTAATTAAACATATCTTGGGTCTGACTGGCCAACACCCCCATGTGTAGTGAAGGCAAAATTTCTAAATATGCTGCAGACCATGACCATTAATGTCAGATGTTGTTAGAACATCCTCATGCCTTCCCTCACCTGAGTAAACCTCACAAGTAAACTGTTCCACTTTATGAGACATTATCTCATCAATGATCAGACTTTAGTTTAGCCACAAACCTGTTCAGTGTATAAAAAGATGATCCCCACTTGAAACGTTTCAGTAGTGTAGTGCCCAGATCTTCTTGACCTATGACATTGAAAAAACAATTATTATACTGTATTACTGCGAGTTACAATGATAAACGTGACAGTGAAGTATTTATTTAGTGATTGATCAGCTACACTGTATGTATATGATTTTTTATTAATGACAAAGACTAGATGACTTCTAACCGATACTGACCATGCTTTCATACATATTGAGCAAAACATGATTTATGGTGCATATCAGAAATCAAGAAAGCTTGCTGCCATCATATCTCTGCTGATGAAGCACACATAATGATGGTTGCATTTTGCAAATGCCTGTATTTTAATACACACACACACACACACACACACACACACACACACACACACACACACACACACAATTTTATAGATTTTCATCTTATCATTATTCCACCACTGTTACTCTGTCCATACATAATTTGTGTTTCCCACTTCAAGGTAGCTTTCACATAGGGCTAACCTCTTTATTTTCTGTTCAGGGTGCCCATTTATTTTATTTTTGTTGTTGTCACTGATGTTATCATCACTGCTTTGTTTTTACCCTATTATAACATGTCACATCTATTCATTCTGATTCTGAATAAAACGTTCAATTGTATTGTATTGTATTGTATTGAAATTGAAGCTTACACATGTACACTGTAGTGGGTCCAACTGGCAACTTTCAATACTAGGGCCTACAAATTTGAAACTTTTCCTCAAGGTAAAGCACAAAAGTTATAGATACCTGTACATGTAGTCTCTACATCTACATGTAATTTCAATTAAGAATCATGTCACTGTACGAATACCCTCCTCTTGAGTAATGCAGGGGTTTTATTAATGTTTTCAGTAGGAGGGTAACTGGTTTTCACAGGCGGGCAAAGGTTTTTGACTTGAACTTCTTTATAAGAAGAACTATACTTTAGATGGTCAAACCAGGTGGGCAAAATCATCCTCGCAGCTGGTCAATTTGCCTGGTGCCCGGCCCTTAATGAAACTCCGTACATGTAAGTAATGTTACCTAACTTTTGTAACACTTACCAACAATGTACAGAGTAGCTGCAAATGCCTCAACACAGGAGAGTTTACAAGGCTTTCCATAGTTAATAGGGTTGGCAGCAATCAAGTAAGGTAATAAGCGCATATTGCCACCTCGCATCCTTCCAAATGGCGTGGTCTCCAATTTGGCCCACGAGCAGTCAATAACAGCTATTCCATGGTCCATAAGAATGGTGTGGTCCTGGGGTGATACACACTGCTTTCCCAAGGGACTTAAAATGAGTCCATTGAATCTCTGAGAGAGTTTTAATGTTTTCACAAACCCAAGTCTTGAAAGTTTCCTTCCTGAACACTTCTTAGGATCACAGTGCTCTAGATCCTAAAATGTAGTACAGATATGAAAAAACAATCAATCAATCAATTAGTCAATGATCAATGAAAACTTTTGCATCAATGCTTTTTGTAAATTATGGTAGTGCTCAGATTAACTGGGAGGCGCAGTGACCTGATGGTTAGTGCGCTCGTCTCCGGATCGAGCAGTCCGGGTTTGAGCCCTGGCCAGGGACATTGTGTTGTGTTCTTTGGCAAGACACTTGACTCTCACAGTGCCTCTCTCCACCCAGGTGTATAAATGGGTACCGGCGAATTTAATGCTGGGGGTAACCCTGCGATGGACTAGCATCCCATCCAGGGGGGAGTAGAAGTACTCCTAGTCATTTCATGCTAAGGAAACCTGGATAAGCTCCAGCCTGGTGGGCCACTTGGCTCATACGCAGACTTTACCTCAAATTAACTGGCCTGTAAATTCCCTGGCGATAAGTCATTTTCTTGAAAAAACATTTGAATGTGTAGACCACTCCAAACTGAGATCAAAATACTCACATAACCAAACTAACAAGGCTTTAGCCAGGGTAAAAATCAGAAGTGAAATATCCTGAAAAAAATCCTGCTAAAAATATGTGAAATTGTTAATTAATGCCAATTGACAAGCAGTAACATCCATTTCTAGCGAAGGCTAGACAGTAACTATTTACTGGGACCATAAAAAGGCATAGAGTGCCAGTTGAAAGGTAAGTCCACGGCGATCTGTATCAATTCTGAGGGTCAAAGGTGCCTAATGGGTCACCAATATATTCTGACATTTAAACCTGGTAAATTCTGAAGTGTAAAGTGACTGGCAATATTACTGCTCTCCCCCTGTAGGGTACCATGTGTTATAGTGTCAGGTTTTTTCCAACAATTTTGCTGACTAGTATCCATACAGTATACACCTTGTCAGAGAGAAGCACTGAATGTATAAATATTGTACAGTTTTTGAACTGACTGGAGTTTAATTCAGATGTCATAAGAGTGATAAACAAATTAAATCGGATGCTTGCCACATTTCTTTTGTTTAATATTTACAACACTTACAACACATGTACACTCCTAACTTACCCACATAGCCAAAGGAAAAGGAAATCCTCTACCATAATCTTTTGTTTTACTACCATCTGAAATTAAATTGTGCAATATGAATAAGTGATTTTTTCATATTAGAAAAAAGAGGATAGTGAGGCTGGAGGTGTAGGTGGGTAATAATTTTATACAGTATACCCTATTTACATTTATATCTGATCTTTTATTATTATACCCCTTTCAATTTCTGTCATTGGTGGATTGGTTGATTAACTGACTGACTGACTGACTCACTGACTGATTGATTGATTGATTGATTGATCGATTAATTGACTGATTGATTTTGATTGATGGACGAATGGATGGATGGATCATATTTTAAGACCAAATGTACACAAGAATCAAAAATAGTTCAATAAGGCTTGAAAAATAGAATTTGCCCTACTGTTGCATATAAGTAGGTCTTAGTAAAAGCAAAAACTCTGTGTAGTTTTTTTCTTCAAATATCTTGGCATTTCCAAGAGAAAGAACATTCCTTTTGACGTCCAGATATCAATCTAACGAGTTCTAACTGGGCTGAAAATTGACCATTTTCATTCAATTCGCATTTTGCAACTATTGAGCACAGAAAAGTTGTAATACAACCAACTTAATGCAGAACTATTCCTTGTCCAAAAAAGCCCAGTCTCAAGAATATTGGATTTATCTAACTATTTAGAGGTAAACAAAACCAAAGCGTTCTCCAACGATGAGTTCGTCAGTCGTTGAAAACAATTGTCATTTTGACCATGTGCCATGTCTCAGAATTCCAAAAGATTTTAGATTGTAACTATACTAGGATAGGTCTTTCAATATATCTAAGGTTTAGTTTGGGCAAATGATTAGGCACTCGTCAAAACATAATTCAAATCATACACAAAAAAATTGAAATCACGCCAGCAGTTGAATGCGTGACCAAAAGTATTACCATTGTTTTTGTCATTAAATCACTTCAATTCGAAATATCACAGGAATGTAAGCATGATTTAAGCATAAACCAACATATATATGTCTACCTTAGTTGGGTTATCATGTCTTGGCTGTCAAACAACATTCCTATCCTGCCATTTCAACGGTGTTGCATTAGGTTTGCATAACCTGTATGCATTCGTGTAATGATTTTGAATTCCCCAAATCACTCAATATTACCAAGATCCTATGCAAATGTTCCTACATTTTCCATTTTTGTTGTTCGGTACTATTATTCAACATGCTATTAGGCAGAAATCTCCAGTAATTAGCAGTAACAAATAAGCCGGCATCTTCGATGGCTCTGCGTCTCTTATTTGTATATTGTCCAGCAACAGTCTTGCACACAGGGTAAGGGTAGAGTGGGAGTTATTTCCAAAAGAAAAAGTATTAGAATTTTTCCAATATCTCGATGCTGGTCCCAATTTAGGGCCTCCTTTCTTAGCTAAAACGATAAAATGCTACACACGAACGAAGTCTTTGTGGCTTAAAATTCAAACAAAGAAAAGTAACTCTGTTAAAAGTTCTGAAATCCCGACCCTCACCTCCAGGTAAAATATGTTAACATTGTAACGCACGGGTCTCGGATAACACATCTTCAGTCAAAATGGCGGACTTTCAAACATCTTCAAAATGGAAACCCGAAAGTCGCACATGGAATAATGCTTTAGCAGTTACTACTGGCTTAATCAAATGACACAAATAACACAGATAGATGATACATACAAGGGACTTGGCAGTAACTGTTTTTCTTCAAAGTTGGATATGAGTACTGACAAGAATGCCACTGAAAATTATTTGCAGGGAAGAATCACTTTGCAAGATTCAGTATATTACAAACCGAGGTAGGTGAACATGCTATTATTAGGGAAGTGGTCAAAACTATTATACATATAAGGGATCCACTAGAATAACTTGAGACTACTGACTCTTTCTATAGCCCCTCTACCCTTATCCAGAAACCAACGGTTTCTTTTATAGCCCCCCTCCCCCCCTCATCCCTTGGTAAGTGATCCATGGTCTCTACTACAGCCCACCCCACTCCCTTGAGAAGTGACCCATGGTATCTTTTAAAGGCTCCTCTCCCTTCACAACCTACCCATGGTATCTTTCACGACCCCCCATCCCCCCTCAAAAAAAAGGGAGCCATGAGAACCTCCACACACACACAAAAACAAACACACAGAGAGAAACAGTATCCCGGGTTACGTACACTGTGCTCACATTAT